TCAATTTATTGTGTTCTATATGTATTTCATATTTATCGTGCATTAAGACGTTTACGTGTATTTATATTAATTCCTGCAAATCCGAATATTCAACATGCATAGTAAGTTTTTTTATGAAATGATATAATTTCTTATTAGACTATCTGCAAATTGAGAGAAAAAAATAAATAGAGATTTTATTATGATTGATATTGGTACAGTAGTTTTAACCAAAAGCTATACTGATGTCTTCTCTATGGAATTCTCTACGAAAGTATTTAATTTTGACAAGCTATAAAAAGGATTTCATATTTAGCAGAACTTGTTCATTCTACAATGGTAAGACTAGGATTTAAAGAAAAGTGTGTGAAACAAAAAATATTTAGCCGTAATGGAATCGATGTCATAACTGATACAGAAAAAGAAATAATTCGTAGTAAACTAATGAAATAGAAAAAATCTTCCTTCATATATATTTTTGCTAATATTTTTATGTTTCTGTGTAAGATATAAAATGAAAGATGATTTTTAATGGTGAAATAGGATTCTATTGGTTTTAGACAATATATTATTTTCATCACTGAAAACAGGTTAAGCTAGACCTCTACCCGGCCTAAGGCCAGCTAGAAAAGTCGGCTGACTGCAGAGCCCGAAAAATATCAAAACCTGGTTCTATACGACATCTACTATTTCTATACCCAAGACTTGTGAAGAGGAAATCATTATCAATCTGAATCGTAGATTTCCATATAAGGAAGCTCTCAGCTGTTCATTATCGTTCATCGTCTCATCTGTATAAACCATGAAGAGAATTTGTTAAACATTTGAGACTCTTTCATGGATGAATTTCAGTTATGCAAGACGATAATTAAAGTATATATGCACATAAGATCTGAAATATGAATGGTGTTTTAAGCGTCAGTCATGTATAACCATATAAGGAAACTAACAGCTGTTAATTATTATTTTTGGCATTATTTACATCTTCCGAACGCTGCCGAATTTCGAAAAACGGATTTTAGATGTGCACTCGTCACATTTTCAGGGTGGGTGTGTGTGTGTGCGTGTGAACGAGAAGAACAGCAACCCACACACCCACACCCATTAAGATCGAGAATCTCAGTATTAATTCGAGTTCAGAACTACAATGATAGTATATTTAGTAGAATACATTCTAATTTTTGATGATTTATAACATATTTTTCCGTTCGATTCGTTCATAGGATTTGTTTTAACAATTGATTGTTTTTGATGGGAAAAAAATCTGGCAGACCCTCGCTTTATCCTAACCTATTAGATACAGAATAAAACAATTTTTACATCAAAATCAATTATAATGATTGAACAAGTTAGCCTTGACAAACTCAAACTCGAACTATAAATTGGGGTGTGGGTGTGGGTGTGGGTGGGTCTGGGTGTGGGTCTGAGTGTGGGTGTGGGATGCAGGTCTCGTTATCGATCTTCTTTTAAATCAAAACCATAGTCTATCCACATCATCGTGCCACTTTTACACCTGCATCCACACTCCACACCCACGCCCACACCCTCTATTTTGATTTTCTCTCGAAGATACTCATGGAGGAAAAGATACTTCTAGGATAACTAAAAACTTGTACAGCAAAGACCTAAGAAAATCACAGTCAAGTCAACCGTATTGGTTTAAGTTACTCACTGTCGAGCAATCTGAGAAAATCTTGTAATTGTAAAGAAGTTCATAAAAAGCTGATATGTGAATAATAGGTTGACTGACTGAGGACCGACAGAATATATAGAGGTGTTTACAAAAAAAATTCCACAAAATTAATTTTGTCTTTTTAACGTTTTCTTTACTATGAGAAGCAATTAGAAAAGTCATGTTGTGTGGGATAAATTTACGATGGATATTCAAAGACATGATATTATCTCTCTAACGATAGTAACTTGGAATATTTCGATTCAACCTGATTATGTGCAAGAGGTTAAGCGTCATAGAAAGCATACAAAAGCAAAAAATAATTGGGTTGATGCAAAAATTTTGTAAATTCAACTAATAATTACGTAAATCTATATCGATTAAAGTCGTTCTCAGTTATCATAATCGGAAGAGAAAACATCAGTCTATCTTGAATAAAATAGTCTACTAGGAAGTTTCATAACATAGATTTTAAAGGTGTATGGAAAGGACAACATGGATATGAGAGGGTGTGGGTGTGGGTATATATGACGAGAAGATTTAAACTTACATCCACACCCATACCTTTTTTATTTAATTAATAAAAATCGAAAAGAGAATACAATTTTGTTAGTCATTTGGTCATTCAGCAAACTGAGAATGTCGACAAAGCATCTCAGTTAACATGAATAACTTTCATCTTTCACTCGAACAAAAGTGAATACGAAACATTGATATTTTTAATGAGATAAAAAAGAATGGGGCAAATAATTGACTCTGACCTTCATGAAGCTTTTCTGATGTTAGCTGTAATCTAGAATGATCAATTAAATAAATGAAATGGTTCTTAACATAGAATGTTATAAAAATCGATAAATTATTTTAATGATTCGATATAAAATGCATTAGATTTGTAAATAAATTAAAGCATTAGTAAATATTATCAATTGACAAGCTACTGAAGTGAAAGATGAGTATACAAATAGCAAATGTGTTACAGTATGACCTTTTTTTTCTCTTTTTTCTATTCGTTGATAATGTAATATTAATGACAAGCACGATAATAATGTTAAGTTATACAATTTTTACTCCTAGTCTCTCTTTGAAAACTAAACTGTTTTTAAATAATCATCTAACTAGATTTTTTTTTGAAATAATATTAATGAAAAAATTTCATATATTTCGTTATCTAACAGACATGAAAATAATTTCATTAATATCGTTATTTTAGCGTCATTTCCAATTCATGAATTTAGTTAAGGAAAAAGAAAATAATACTAACAGCATTTTTTTTCTTCCGTTTGACATAGTCTTCATTTGGTGTTATTGATTATTTAAAAGGACCATAATCTTTGTATCGGTTACGTTTTTCTGCATCATTTTCATTCCGTTCTTTAAACTACTTTGCAAAATGAAAATTATTGGATTAGTTTCATTATTTTTGCATATTCTTCGTGACCAGTTTCTGATAATCTCGAAAAGAACTAGAATTATCACATTGTTTTGATCATTTTTGACATCATTTTTATCTGTTATTTTCTTTTGTTTTTACTTTGCAATATGAAAAGCATTACATTATTTTCGTTACACAATTTCGATCATTTCGTAAAAGATGAATGACTAAATGAGGCTCATTATTTTTACATTTGAAACGCTTGATTCAATCGTTTTTCAAATGATCTTAAAATTATATCAATTTTTTAAAGAAATAAATGTGGAAACCTCGGATTTAAATCCGAGTGTTATGTGTACTTCAAAAAGTAAAAAATTATTGATGACAGATGGGTTTTGACCAAACTGTCTAAAAAAATCATCCTGGAGAGTAGTAAAGAATAGGGGTCGACCGGCTCACGTTGACGAACTTCATCCAAATGAATTAGAGAACTGTTCGAACAGCTCTTTTAAACGAGCTGAGCTTTTTCAAACATTTCTTTTCAAATGAACTTAACTTAAAGTTATACTAGATGTTATAATATGGGTGGATCCATAGGCCCTCACGGCCTACTATATAGGAATACCCATAAGATGGTCCTTAAGGACCTGTTGGTGCTCTTATATAATAGAACTCGAGGAACTATTGGTATCCCTATATTAAAGGACTTGTGGACCTATGAGTTACCCAAAGCACATTAAAGGAGTCGTAGATATCCAGCCTCGGATGTCTCTAACCAATCCTGAAGATGGTATGTATAGCTTTTCTCGATGGTTAACTCATAGAGCCGAACAAATTGGGAAGGTCAAGTTCGTTGACAAGAATTGTTCAAATAGTTCAGCTTGTGGTACTGAACGTTTTGAACAGCTCATCGGTTCTCAACTAGAGCTGAACTTGTCTAAACAGGTGAGTCATCATAGCATGTGTAGACGTCAAAATGGTCGTAGCAAGTCCTTCCTATTAAAACTTGATTTCTATTGATTACTGCTCAACCAATAGGATTTCGAGGCAAGTGGAGCTCAGATTCGAGTTCTTCGTCTCAGAAAACGTCGAAGTATCATCTCTGTGATTGGAAGATGGAGCTTTAATTTTCGATCAATTAGAACGTGGGCAAAAACTGAACCAATTTTCGTTTAAGTGTCTTTGCAATAGATGACTTAGCCTTCTTATTTCCTAATATTTTATACACCAATTTGTAGCTCGTGAAATTCTCTATCGAATGGTATATAATAGTATGGGGTTTTGTTTAATTATGAAAGGAAAAGTTCTTTTACAAAAACCGAGATAGGTCAATAATCGCATAGGAAAGCATAGGGATAAATGACTTTTTTTGCGATAACTCAGTAATGGCTCGACGAATCATTCTCATCTTTGAAATACTGTGTAGAAAACCTCATCAAGATCGCACTCGCCTTTCAAAAGTTATCGTGTAAACGGCCGGACGGGCACACTGACTGATTCTAGAGTGTACTCACTTTTTGAGTACACAAAAAAGTCTATTCTACAACAGGCTTTGCAAGAACACTTTGTTTTTGCAAAAATGCAACGTGAAAATTTTCATTCCAAATTAGTAAAATTACCAAAACTTTGTAATAAATATATGTATTTTAAAATGTCTTGTTTTTAGATAATAGCTCTTCTCTTCCTCTACAAAATGACAATTTGTTCAATACTTTCATATAAGCTTGATATAGATATCATTAGTTTACTGAGAGGGGTCGAAACTTTGGACCACCCTTTATGATATATATTTTCCTTTGCTTGCTGTTTCTCATATGATCTTAATGGAACACCATGGTATTACTATGCCTACGTCTCACACCCACTCTCTAGATCTTCAAGAAATATCATACAAACTCAATTATTTTAATTTTATTGTTGTCATTCAAAAATTCTTGTTAATCAATAAATGATCAAGCTTATCAGTTAGTGTCACGTTTATAATATTGGAAATTTAACTGCATTGAAAATAATACTGCCCACATGTGATGTCAGTGGTGCATGTGAACTATTTCGATTTTCAAGCAGTTTTTTCACAAATATCAATGGATTCGAAGGAAAACAACAATGATGAAGTTGTAGTTGTTCACGATGTTCTGGTTGTTCTACATAACCATCGAGAGCGATCCAGCCATTATCGAAAGCATCTTCTTCGAGTTTTGTTCGTGGTTTTGGACATAGACCTAAACATTGACAATAAGCTGCTTGTTCTTCAACAGTATTGAAATAGAGAGTGCCATTAAAAAGAAATAATTGAGCCAACCATTCAACTGGAATAGAACAGGAACCAGTTGGAGGAATGGTCAGACGTGGGATATCAATGAAAATCGATTGATCACGTTGAATACGTGGCAGAAGAAGTTGTAATGTGGTCGTTGGTGGTTGAACGAGTTTTTGCTTGTGGTGAAGATGCTGTAATTGACCTAACAACCAATTGGCTTCGAAAGCACTAACAAAAATAACGTGTTGATTACGATAGATGAGCACCCATCGTGGTGGACGCAGGAATGGATCTAATGATTCTCCACGTGTTTGAATAACTCGTTGAAATTCAGTCGAAATCCAAAGATTTGCTTGCCAACAATGAAATTGGCTGTGTTCATGAAATGTAGTACCAAGAAAAGCATCTTTCAGAGGACGAAATACTGAAGGTAAGTTGGATAATTTCACCGTAGTACCTTGCATATCACATAAACTTTTAATTTCATTATGCAAAACAGGTTCATAAGGTTGAACAGCTGGTGGACGTTTTTGTTGTCGTTCTTCTTCCATTTCTTGTTCTTGTTCTAATTCTCGCTGTTGTTCTTCATCTAATAATTGTGATAGTAATTTTTTCGATCCACCATAATCTTGTAAACGTTTAGTGACAGCTTTATGAATTTCGGTGGATGAACATATCTGAAAATATTTATATCGAGCAGAATAAATTTCCAAAATAATTTGCCAGGTTTTTGATGGACCATACATTGATTTTAAATCTAGTATTTCATTTTCTAAACAATCTTTAGCTAACTGTTCCATCATTGTATTTGTATATGTTTGTTGATCAGTATTCCGATAGATATTTTGAAAAGCAGTTACTTTTCGTTGAAAACTTAAACTTTGTGTAGCCCAATGATGTAAACCATCCCAAGTTGCTTGTTGACTATTTTCATATACCCACCGAAGAACATCAACCAGAGTAACTTTTTCATCAGTTGACAATGAATTTCTTTTCAACATTTCAATTTGATGATGAACTTCATTTGAACTCCAAAAACTTAACCAATGACATTTTCCTAATTTTCTCATTCTCATACATGCTTGAACTAAACGATCTTTCGTTAAACCATTTCCTAATGTCACCGCTGCTCGAAAACCATTTGGAAATTTAAAATCTGTTCCTCTTGTATGAATTTCATCGAGATAAAATACGCAACGATCTAGACGTTCACTAGCAGGTGATGTTGAAAAAGCATGACATCGATTAAGACGATCAATAACAAAAATTTCATCGGATTCGAAATAAACTGCATAATCAATTTTGGTTTTATTTAATAAATTTAACCATTTCTCGGTTATTTGATGATTTGTTCCATCGATAAATAATGCACCAACATCAAGAATCACTTGAATATCTAATTCACAATTGACAATTTGTTTTAAAATCTCTTCTGAACTCGGACTAATCGATAAACATTGATAATTTTCATTTTCAATTCGAAGTAAATTATTAAGAACAAGAGCATCGGTTTTGCGTAATTCTGGTAAATCACATTGATGAATATGAGCAGGGAGTAATAATTGTGTATCGTTTGTTCCGCTAAATCCAGTGATGATTTGTTTTCGTGAGAATGATGAAGATAAATCCCAAGCAGAAGCAATCAATTTATTTGGAAATTGTTTTGCTTCACGAGGAAAAACGAAATGATTAAGAAAATAATTAATTACTAAGATATTGTGACGTAAACTTGGAAAGAGATATTCAGATGTTTGTTGAGAATTTTTTAAATTAACTGATTTCCAATGTTGAACATTTGAAATCAAATCATCAGTTTTATCTTCTTGAGAAATCCATTCTTCATAAATCATATCAGGATCTTCTTCTTCATCGTTCATACGATTGAAACATTGCATCATTTGTGTATCATTTAAACCACTATAAAAATACGAAAGTTGAGTTAAAATGATCGCAACATCTGGATGACCGAATTCAGTATTTTCTGCAGCGACATCTTTTGCACGAAATGGTACAGCCATTAAACGATCGAATTTCGAATTTTGATTCACACCAAAATTAACACGATAACGTCTTTTCAAAGCAGCGAATAGCACTTCTGATGATAATAAACCACGCAGAATCAGGAATAATTGAATAATTGTGTCAGAAAATCGACCAGTCAGATCATCTATAGATGAATTTGTGTTCAAAATAAACGATTCTATCACCTGCAAATCATTTTGACGAAAACTTCTTTGACTAAGCCATTCCTTAAGAATAAGTTTACATAATGTTGGAAATGGTTGATTTGATAATAAACGAAATTCCGGAAAATGACTCTGACGTGTTGAAGCTTTATAAAAAACGTCATCTCCATACTGTTGAGCAAAAGTTGCAGCATGTTGTTTGACGAATGTTAAAATCGATTGAATAGTTTTCCAACGTTCTGCACCTCCATCAACTTGTTGTTGACGACCAACTGAATAAATCAATTGATATTTAACATGTAAAATTTCATCCGATTCGTCTAAAATATCACGAATATATATTTTACACCATTGTTGAACAGATAACATTGATTGACCAACAATGAATTCATTTCGTCGACATTTATCTATTGTAAGTAAATCAAATGATAGAATATCTTCTGGTGAAGTTAATATCACATCACAATGTTTTAATCCTTTCTGTAAACGATTAAAAATTTGATTGACTTCTCCAGTGGTGAAATTCATATCACGTCTACAAGAAAATGGTAAAACACGTCGATTTAATAAACCACCTAATTTACATCGTAATGATTGATAATTCATTGGAAATAAAGATTTTAGTACAATTATACGAACTAAACTTGATGATGATGAACTTAAATTAAGTGCTAAAATTGGAAGAACAACTGAAGTTTTTCCTTCACCCATATTCATTTGCATGACGATATTACGTATTGAAGAATTGTCTCCTGTTATTTTTGGATTCATCATATGACGTGCAACTTGAATTTGAATTTCTCGAATGGTAATATTCATTTCTAATTCCATAATTAACCATGGAACATGTTCTGCTGGTATCCAATTTGTATGAGGAATATTGGAGATTTCTTTTTCAAAATCTTCCCATTTCTCATGAATAGCGAGATGTAATGCTCGTTCAATTTGTTGTTCGACAATGCAATTGACAAGGATACCACCGAGTAATGTGCATTGATCAGTTGTTAAGAATAATGACGGTAAGTTATCGATATTGATTTCTTTTTTTAAAGAGATTTCTTGAAAGATAGATATTAATGTTGTTGGTACGATTCTTATGATTAAACCAGTTTTGAATAGTAATTCATTATTTAATTTAATTGATTTCGTTAATTCATCCCACATTTGTGTCGATTGTTCACAATAAGATTTGAGAAAATTCTTGATTTCGTTTAGATCCGGATATTTTGTTTGATATTCTTTAGTCGCTTGAAATTTTGTCCAACTTTCTGTGAGATATTCTTTAAAATGATTGGCAATATCACTAAGAGGATTGAGTTGATGATCTGTCGAAGGAATTATTTCTTTGGGGAACGCCTTCTGCTGCTCACTTTTTATTTCAGTAGATATAGTTGGTTTAATGAAATAATTGGAATGAGGATGCAAGAATTTTTGTTTGGCATATTCAAGCAATTTTTGATCGATAAAATTATTTTGAGAATTAATTCTAATTTGATAATGATTTTGAAATGATTCGATTGCAAAACTTTGGGGATTGACGTTCACTTCACTATTTAATGGAATAATTGTAATGAATTGAATGTGGTTCTGAATATTATTTAGAAATGAACAAAGTACACCATTGGCACGCCAGGATTTAAATAAATTCTCGATTTGATATGTGCTGATGCGCCATTTTGGAAAAGTGTTATTTGTATACTCACGATTATTCATAAAACAACTTCGAATTTCTTGTAAAGCTTTTTCTCGATTATTTGGGTAAAGTCTTGATGGAAAACTAATACGATGCGATTGAACAGATGTTTCCTGAATGTTTTCATAACGTGTGAATTCAGGATATGGAAGAGTTCGTAGTGATGTTGTTGATGATTTCAGAAATGATTTGAGTAGTTGAAAATAAAACGGTTGAGTATCATGTTTACGAGAAATGTAACGAAGAAAGTCTAAGAGTATTTCTAAACGTTCAATTTCATATTGTTGATTCGGACTTTGTTCTGTCTTTAGTTGTTCAATTAACTTAAATAAACCAATCCATATATGTTTCGGTTGATATTCATTTGTTAGCCATCGAGATAATGGAAAACATGTCAATGATGAACTATCTCTTAGATATACATCTCCATTGGAATATAAATAATCAACAAGTCGAAGAGGATTATTGTAAGTAGTTGATAATGTAGAACTTTCCCATACTGGTTGGTATGATTTTGTTATATTTGTTGATCGAATCTCTGCTTCCATCTGAGGAGACAATCGTGCTATCGGATTATACGAATCTCGATAATCCCAATAGAGTTTAATCAATACTTCTTCGTTGTATTCCTTGCTTTCAAACAACTTCTGTATGCCATGAGATGTATTTGTTGAATACATAAACTTCCATTGTTCACTTGCTTCATATAATTTCTTCGCTAATAAATAATAACCAAAATGTTGAATGGAATAAGGTAAATTTTGAGTGTTCCAATCGATTTTTACCATACATGTCTGATGTTCAGGGTAATAATTTACTTTTGGAGATAAAGATGCAATTTGGGATAGGATATTCAGAGAAATTGGATCGTATGGTTGGTCAGACCAAGATCCAGCTGAATTTAATAGTTGAAAAGAACGTTCCATACCAGTCATTCCTGTATATTGATCTGGTAAAGGATGGGATGTCATTGCATGTAATAATGCTAAATAGAGCCATCCAGTTGGACTATCAGTTGATTGAAGAATACGTAATCGATCATTTAAAATAAAAACAAAATATTGATGAAGTGATGTTCCTGATGAAGCCTTTCGTTCTATAGTAACAGTTTGATAACTTTTATCTGATGTTTTTTCAACTTGAACATGTCCATAAGGAATAATCACTTTTCGACAGAGATGATATTTATTTTGTTGATTATTTATAGTCATGGGTGATAGGAGAAGACCAGCTTTTAAACCTGTTAATGTTCCAAACCATTGATTTTCATCGATATGCATATCCGGATATTCACGAGAGGTGATCACATTTTGATGGATGTCATATCGGAAAGCAATACCTAATCGAGACAAATGTATATGAATAACAGTACCAAACTTCGCTTTGGCATTTTCGCAAATAATGTCTCGTAACATGTACACATAAGGTGCATCATCGAGACGAATAAAAAAACGTTCAAATAAGTTTTTAAAGAAAGAGGATGATTGATTGATTAATACTTGTGTTGTTTCCATATTTTTTGTCGTAATCAATCCTGTTTTGATTGTTAGAGTATAATGTTTATCAGTAAGAAAATTTGGATCATGAAAACGTCTTGGTCGAAATTCGATCTTTTCAGTGTTCTCATTCTTCCAATGACTATAATTCGAGATAAATATATCTGGTAATTCCTTTTTGAAACAATTGGAAGGAATCAATTGAAATCTCTTGTTTGTTTGATTATGTCGTTCTTGAATTATCAGACGATGGGGGTAATTATTGTAATTAAATTCATAATGAACTTTTCGATCTGTATGATATCCATGTTTAGTAATATAAGTATCCTTTTTGTTTGATGGTTGTACTTCAAAAAGTTGCTTCCCAAAGACACCAATAAACAATTCATCCGACGTCATTTTTTCAGGTAAAAAACCAATCGTCACTTTATCGACTAAAAATGTACCTGTTATACAATTAATAGATACTTTATTCGATCCATACTGAGCACTATATAGACCATCATAGATATCCGTGTCACATTTTATCCATTTTCCATCCGTTGTACTGCTACTTTTGTTCACTGCCCAATATTCAGCAGTAAACTTATTCAAACTTTCGTAGGAAGTGTTTTGAAGGAATTGATTCAAAATTGGTTGTAGCAATATAAGATTACGTTCATTGAATCGCATTAGATTTCTCATGAAAACACTTACACCCATTTGTTTTTTTCTCAAAATAAGATTATCTTGAACGGTCGTCGCTAGTTTAAGTAGACAGATAACATGTTCATTCGATAATGACATACGATCAGCATTATCTATATGTAATAAAAATGTCAATAAACCTGTCAGACCAATACTCCTAAGTTTATCACGTAATGTCTCGACTTTATCAAAGTCTAACGACGATGGAGTATGAATACTTTCCGAGATTACTTCAATCCATTTTTCAGCTATCTTACGGCATTTTAAAGCCAAATCAATCATTTGAGTTTTCTTCGTTGAATTACAAATAGTCAATATTCTCATAACAATGATTGTAAGAATTACTAGCACTAATTCATGTTGCCAATTACATTGACATTCATTTAAGCGAAGATCTACTCGTAAGATTAATTCATCAACAAAACCATCATCTAATAATTGTTGATGTGATTCTGGACACCAATAACAAATAAGATTCTCTCGATTATCTATCACGGGACCATATTGCAAAAGTGAATGTGTAATAAGAATGGCAACACTTTCCTCATTCATTGATAGAGAATCTAATTCTAATATACTCAAAAGATTCCACCATTGTAAACGATGACCAGAACGAAATGAACCGAATTCGATGAATTGTGATGATTTAACTGATGATGAACAATTGGATAGTTGAGCAATTACACGATTTTGTACGAATTGCGTATTATCAACAGAAAACTGTAAAAGTTTGTAATTTGAATCGGTTAATTGAGGAGTTAATGTTCGGCATTCATCCTGAAATGCAACTGGTTTCGTTGGAGAGATCTGTACGTGTAAACTGTTTTCCAATAAAAATTCTTCCAAAATTGTGCATGAAATCGGCCGTGGTGCAAAATAATGAGTTTGTGATATAGATTTAGTCGATGATACTAATTTTACTTTACGATTGCATGCAGCAGTGTTGTATTGACTTAGTTTACTACTATGAGGAGAAATACTCAACCATTCGTGCATGTTATTCGATGGTACCAGAGTCGGTCGGTTAATAAATTGCCAAAGTATATCTCGATAACATCGAATTTCGATAGGCATTTGTAATTCAAAGATCACAGCTAATGCACTTTCGCGTCTCGATGGTATTGGGCATTCATAAATCTCCACTTTCATACTGTTTGCTTTTTGAACCATCTTACATCGATCACATTTTGTATAAGGATGTTCTGTTTTACATTCGCATATGAGTTCAGTTGCTTGTTTCATCAGTTCGTCATATTTTGCTTTCTCTTGGATCACTTCTTCTCTTTTAGCGTTTTTATCCTTTTCAACTTGCGCTTGAATTTCTGTCAAAACTTTAATCATCTGTTCTGATCGTTCGGCAAAATATATCCCAAATGCATTCTTCGAATCGATATTATTTAATAGTTCGGGATATTGTTTTGCACTAAATTCTTGAAAATAATCGTAAAGAATTCGAGCTCGAATCATCTCGTCTCGACTTGGTAAAACTAAAAGTTCAAATAACTCCAAGAGATTCGGAATTTGAATGGCATGAGATTTCAATCTTTCGAATCGTTGATCATTACATAATTTCATATGAATAAAACGAATTATTCTTAACGATGTTAGAATATATCGACTATAACCAATTGAATCTGTAAACGTATTTTCTGAATAATAGTGTTTTAAAGCTGTTCGTTGATAATCTTCGAAAAAACTTTGTAAATTTTCAAAACGTTTGCCTCCATTATCGGATGATAAAGCATGCTCGATCCATCGTTCTAAATAAGTTTGTACCCAAATTTCGACACGTGTTAAGGCAAAACCGATGGTTTTATTCTTGGAATTACTTAAAGCGGTGACGAAAGGTAATTCATTATCTTCGTTTTTGATACTCGTGGACACTAACTGAACAGAATTATAATCGCAAGAAAATGGTCGATACGATGAAGACAATTGAGGTCTTTTTAAGTAATCTTTTAATTTCGTAGAAGAATGTCGATAGATTTCAGGTTGATTTGGATTTAATTGATGAATTTGTTTTTCATTTATATGAATATGGTTTTGCCAATCTGATCTTGGAAAAATATGTTCAATTTTCTCTTTGATTTGTTCTGTGACAGTTTTCATCCATTGTTTCACATCATTTAAATCGGTAGTTAATGACATATGTTCAATTTTATTCAATCTTCGAACAATTTTTCGAAGACCATGAACGAGTAGATCAACCGATATTTGTGTATCTTTTGAAGCTTGTCTCATATGAATGAAATAAGCGAGAAAATTCGTGATCAGTAGCTTATAAACGACATTACCAATGTTTCCCAAACGTTTTGTTAGAATAGTCTGAAGAATGACTTTCATCGTCATCCATAAACCTGAGCGTCGAAAAGGTGCTGTTGAATATATACATTTGCAGCGTATTTGATCACGATATTTTTTCTTAAATTGAATTGATGTATCCGCAAGATTTTCGTTTTTTATGCCTGAAAATTGTGTTATCCACCATTGACAAACATAATGAGCGATTGGTACTTCACGTGTTTCATTGAACAAATAAGATGCTTTCGGAGATTTGGGATATTCAATGGTATTAGTCATGAATTCGACTAACAACTCGCACTGGACTGAAGAAGTCAATTGAGAAGAATCTGATAATCGAAACGTTGGCGTTGGATAGTAGGATATATATGGTTGCAAAGATGATGTGACTGTTTCCGTTGGTAATAATACTTGCCAAGATGATATTAATGCTTGATTAAGAGGATTTTCATCTATTTCAATCAAAATGGCAGCATTTTGAGTATGGCAATACAGCGGAAGAAAATCACCAGGTGTCAGCTTTCTAATAGTCGATTGTAAATTTGATATGGTGCAATTTTTTATATTCTGTATTACTGACCAATTTTGAATACAGTTCTTAAGAATTGAAAATATCGGTAGAGTTTTTTGTGGAGCTAAAGATTCCAAAAATTCATTGAAACTTTCCAGAAGTTTATGTTCATTTTGATGTTTATATTGAATTAGATAATCATCATCTGCTGATGTTGGTAGTTCATAAGGAAGAAATAAATGATTTAACATCGATTCATTCAAACCGTGCGAAGACATCGAATGACAACTGTGGCTCGCGTATTCTTAATATAAGTTTCTAGGAAAAATCTGAAAAAAACAAGAGAGGTACAAATGTTGATAAATAAACAGTGCTCCCTGTGATTGAAAACAGCGATTATTTTGCTTTTCACTTTCTGTTTAACGTAGCAATACCTCCTATGACTACAGAAGCGGTAAATCTGAATAATGTCGAAAATAAGAATGCTGAATGGAAGTAAGACCGAAAGTAAAATATCGAAAAAGTACCCAGGTCAATCACTCACAGCCGTGAACAGCAGTACACAACCAAATACGGCGGAAAACGGTAGCCGTTTCCAAGTGGACGTTTACAGCAGCAGTAAACGATGCTATACGCCACCTTACGGTGAACGTATATGACGGCCCGGCAATTCAACGGTTAACGACTAGCATATACATACACCGATAGGACACGTTTAACGTGAAACGACGTAACGCGCCGTAAACGCCAGCAGTTTACCGTACTGCCGCTCGCAAACAGTTAACGGTACTTTACGACCGCATATGATCATCGAAAACAATGAAACAGCACAGCGGCCATTCACGACCACCGTATCAATAAGGTGAGCGTAAACAGGCGCACAATAAACTACCACAATGTGCGAACACAGTATATATCACTGAATGCATCATGAGGCAATCACAAATAACCGCAAACTAGATAATACATGTATCGACCTCCAATTGGCCCCTACGTGACTAGTACATATGCTTAGAATAAGTGAGAAAACTCCCCTTGAAATCTGATTGTTCCTTTTTATTGACCAATGGAAACCCACAACTCGATATCTCGATGAAGGGCTGAGAGGGGACCCACACATATACCCATCAATCGATAGAGCGTCCCCAAGAATCCTAGGATTGGCCCGAACATGGCTAGTGCATGTTCTTAAAATAAGAGAGAAAAGTCCCTCTGAAATCTGATTGGTCCTTTTCATTGGCCAATGGAAATCCACAACTCGATATCTCGATGAAGGGCTGAGATGGGACCCACACATATACCCATCAATCGATAGAGCGTCCCCAAGAACCATAGGATTGGCCCGAACGTGACTAGTGTATGTCCTTAAAATAAGAGGGAACAGTCCTTCTGAAATCTGATTGGCCCTTATTATTTTCCAATGTAGACTCGGTATTTGATTTCTGCATGAGGTGAGCGCGAGGGGTGCGACACGTTAGCTAATCAATCGATAGAGCTTCGCCGAGAACTCTAGTTTTGGCCCGAAGATGACCTGTGGATACGGCTGTAGGAATGTTGAGAAGTCGTGGGAAAGGTGACGGTTGCTGTTTTATTATGTTGTGGTGTCGTGGGCAGCTGTGCATAGAATATCGTGATGTTGACGGGAAATGGTTCAGGGATATATATGGTGTGGATGGGGAAGTGTACAGACGCGTTTCGTGTCTCCGTCGTATACAGTGGCATGCGGTCGCAGTATACGGCAATCGTATACGGCGGGATACGGTCGTGGAGGGTGTCGAAACGGCTGTTCTCGTCGGCCATGGTGTAGCGGTAGTTCGCATTTATGATCGTATACAGTAGCCGTATTACGCCGTATGCGTGACGGTGGGATACGGCCGTAATACGGCCCATGGAAATACGGTGGTATACGCCGTTTCTGGTCGCGGTAATGCTCGATCTGCGTATAGTGTCGAAGGGAAAAAATGTCGAAAGGATGCGTGTTGGTGCGGGTAAGGGTGAAGGTGTAAATGTGGGTGTGAATGATCAATAAAAAGAATATCCAGGCGTACCCACTCGCACTCATTCTCAATAATATTGGTTATTTATATATTGTATTATATCCATCGATAGTCATTGCCATTTTGCTGGCAATTTTTGGAGGATCTGATTTCTTTGTTCAACCATTCTAACTTCACATAAAAAATTAAGAAAAAAATTTCACTTTGGACATTATTCAGGTGAGTCTGCAGAAGCCATCACATGGTTTCAAATATTCCTTATCAACAAGCATAAACACATGAAAAAATCTAGAAAAATTAATTCAATTCGCAGACAATTGTAAACTCGTATGCACTCTCCCTCGGCCAAAAAAAAAGTACCTTTTTCCATTTCATTTTTGCAACACTTAATGTATTGTTTTAAAAAAAACAAAATATACCACAAGATGCAGCGTGAAAAGAACTACAATTTACAAAGTAAAGCTTATTTTAATTTTGTACTTTTTGTTTTGAAAAAAAGCAAAATTCTGGGCAACCAATTTTCGACGCTGCGAAAAAATCACTTTTTTTCTAAGAGAAGGAGAAATTTCTCTTTCCTTATTTTGTCTTTCTATCAACTAATATGTTTTTGTAAAAAAAAATAAAGTATACCACAAGATGCAGCGTGAAAAGCTCTACAATTTAAATAGAACAGTTTATTGAAATAAGAAGAAAGGAATTTCTCATTGGTGTAGAAAAATGAACCTTTCACAGCGTCGAATATTGGTCGCACCGAATTTTGCTTCTTTGGAAAACGAAAAGTAGATAATTGAAATAAGCTTTCCTTTGTAGATTGTAGAGCTGTTCACGCTGCATCTTACAGTATAATTTGTTTTTTTTTACGCAAATATATTAATTGATAAAAAGTGAAATAAGGAAAAAGGATTTATAATATATAAGTAAATGAACGACTTAATATTGAAATATAAAACTTTTATTTTTAACAGCAGCGAAAATGTTTTGTAATTGACAATGTCAGCCAAGAACTTCAAAGACAAAGTTCGTGTCTTTCGAGTCTATGGGCTTTTTTATTTCAAACTGAATTCTAAAATCAAAAAAACCACACCAATTTCTTCCGAATCAAACTTTTCTCGCTTGATACTACGTAGTCTCACTAAAAACCCTTAGTCCCCCCTAGTCCTGCAAAGTCCCCCTTAGTCCCCCCCACAAAAAGCTTAGTCCCCGCTTAGTCCCCTGTGCAAGGGACTAAAGCCTATAGCACACAAAACCACAAGCACACCCTCACCCACACTAACGCGCCCACACCCGCACCATGGGTGTGGGTGTGTGTGTGGGTCCCAGACCAACACCCACACCCTCAGTCACCCCCCCACCCTCACTCCTAGACTCACGTTTCAGTTTGAAATCAAGTATTATTTTTATTTGATAAATTCAGACTGAAATTAAATAGCCCATAGTATGTGTCTTTCGGACGTTTGCCATCACTTCGACGATTTCTCACACTGACTCTTAACGGTGAATTTGGTACTTCCCACTCGTACAGATGCTCATATCTTGATAGTGAATCTCTCGTGTCCAAATCGTCCAAAAAATCAAACATGTCATTAGAAGACTCTGTACGCAGTATAAATTTAAACGAGCCAATTGTATTAGGTGGCTGAGTTTCACTCTTAGGACCCTAGTACAATAAATGTATAAAAAAAGGTAAGATTAGAAAACTGGTCTTTAAATTTTTCAATTGAAACCTACAGGAACACAGATGAGAATATGTAAATTCTGAATGAGGAAATAAAAGGTGACTGGTGTACATCTAGCTCAGAAAAAGGAAATCCTATCTTTAAAACACATTCTTCGAACAAAAGATAGATAAATTTGACTAAAGTCACATTTCTGTGGTTTCTTTTTCTGATATGCATATGACCCATATTATTGTAAGTTCCATGAGAGATCCAATATGTATTTTACCCTTTATAAAGTACTGTAAAGTATGTGACTTTTGGATTTCAAGAATACTTTGTATGTCAAGATTGGCTTCTCCAGATCTTCACGGACAGGCAAGCAAACATCTTCATATTCATATTCTGAAAATATAATCATAGGATACTGCTGTACTTGAAAAATGAAAAATAGACAGGCATTTCTAATTTTTTTTATTTTAAGAATGTGCCTCCCGATTGCAAGTTTCTGTGTTTTGTTGTTTTTATTCTGCGACTGAATTCGGCGTTGAATATAATATGCTTTTATCATTTTGTCAAGTCTCATATCTTAAAAAAATACTGATAAATATTTGTTCTGTCCTTTTAAAAAATTTCCAAAGTATCACTTATAGAACATGTATCCAGTTAATTGGGATCAAACTGCATAATCTAGGACACAGATGTCCGAGTTGAGCCAAGCGTTAGATGAACATTTCATAAAATGATGAGAACTTGTTGTGCAAAGGTTGCATTATTTTCTCGAAAATTCACTCTAAATATAATACATTTACTTTAGAAAATAAATAGTGTTCACGAGTTGCCTTCCATTCGATCTTTTCTATACCAACAGGAATGGAAAGAAAAACTTCACATAATGAAAGAGAGTGTCAACCCATATTTGGTTAGATTTTTAAAAATATTGAAATAATGAACTAAAACGTAGCTTACACGATAGTCAGACATTATACGACCAGCTCGCTGAATTTCATCACTTTTTTCTGAAATTTCAAAAAACTGTTCAGGTGTCAGAAGAAGCCTACGTTCTTCACCAGATTGAATGTTCTTTTTCAATTCAATACGAAGATCACCATTATCATGAGTTATATTAATATGCGGTGCATGATGACCACCACCATTAGGCAGGCTGTAAGGAGTGAAACGAAAGCGGCGTCGCATGTGTGTGTTTTTGGTGAATAAGTAGGAGTAAGACGTGTAAGAAAGTTTAAAGTATGACGCAGAGGAAGAGAAGAGAAAATGGTCGCCTCTGCAGACACTAATGTTAAACAGTAATCTTTGTTAACATCATTTTACAATTGTTTCTCTATTTTTCTTTTGTTATTTTTTCCACCAATGACAAAAGGATAACGTCGTGAGAGCTAGCTTCGCTTATTCATACAGAGAAGAAAAACATTTCAGTGTAATTTTAGAATACAATCGTTTTTCTTTGTTTGAATAGTTAATGATATTTGATCTCATAAAAGAGAAAGTATATGCAAGTAAATGTAAGAAATTTGATAGGAAGATCATTGATCGAGGCAGAAATTTGATTTACTCATTTGTCTTGAATCACAATAATGT